CGCTTCAAGAGGTACTCGAGTTCTTCTCTTACTGCGACAATCTCAGCGAGGTTCCGCAAATCGCATCTCCACAGATCCACAGAAGACCGTCAAGATTCGAGCAGTGACAGTTTGCGGGAACTCGACGAAGTGGAGGGGTGAACACACGGCAGAACACTTCATAAGGGGCTGCCTCATGTTGCCTTGTTGGACTAAGCTCCCAGCAACAGGAGCATGCCACAGCGGGTATCAGCACTCTGCCGCGAAGGGGATGGCATGTCGACGCGATATTTGCATAGGAGCCTGGAGCTTATGCCGTCTTTATGAGAAACGAAACTTCCGCAACGGCTCCGATCGGGTCCTGCCAATAAGTCTTTCAGTCCCGCAGCCTCTCGGCTTTAGCAGCGATGTAGTCGGCTTCGGGTCCGAGGCACGTCATGCAGGGCAAGATTTGTTGTAACGTGCGCGTCGAAAGAACGCTGTGTGCTGTCTTGCCGAAAACACCTGGAAGGCAGCCAGTTGTCGCTGCAGCATGGCCGCAGACGAGAACGACCTAGACATCGTCAAGCGGCCTGACTGTATGTTTCTGTTGATGGTGGTGAGTCGTTCTCGCTTGTAGTTGGACGGTTTCCGCTTCGCCAGTACCGTAAGGCAATGCATCGAGATCATCGAGCAGGAGGCATGATCCTGAAAGCTTTGGATTCGCTTTGGACGGGTCACTTCGGCACATTTCAGCACTGGCACTTGCCAGGCGCTTTCCTTGATGGTAGACCCTGGTGGTGAAAATCGGGCCGACGGGGACGCGAAGCTCGCCGAGGTGCCCTGAAGTCTCGGTCGCTTTTTTTCTCGAAGTCATTTGCTTTTGCACCTTGGTCCCAGGTGCTGCAAGTCTTGGGTGCTAACGGCAAGGCCTGCAGCATTCCACGTCTCTGAGCTGATACGCCCTCCAACCAAGGTTAGAGAGCTGCAGGCCGTTTAGCAATGTATGCTGGAATATGCTGCGTCAATGCGGTGATGTCTGATCATGGACCGAGCAACTATGTAGAAGCCTGATAATGAAGCCGGAGCTGCACTTTGCTGCACAACTATCTCATGGTTCGATATCACAGGTGGAGGCGCAACCGAAGACGCTTCAATCGCTTGACGTAACTGGCTCGTCATGCCCCAGCATCTTGAAGCCCCAAGAAGTCTAGAGAAAGTCTCAGGCTAGGAGTCAAACATCGTAACGTCAGGTGTGTTGGCTAACGAAGCTTCCTAAAGCCACGCCCATACAATCCCGCACGGACATGAATTGGGGATCCCCTCCCAACTTCGTGCTGTGAACACTCAAAGACTCTGCGAGAGTAGAAGGCTGTGGCAGCGACTGTGAAGATTTTATTCGGTTGTTTCGCTCGTTCTCGCTTTCATGGAGGCAGTGGAGAGGCCCAGCGATTCCCGGGACCTGCAGGAGAAGCTGTCGCTGCTGACCCGAGGCCGATGAAGGGGGACTCTGGCTAATGGTCGCTGGTCGTACTGCTCAGCCGTTTTTTTGTCGTCTTCTCTGGAATTGCGGCAGGCATGCATCTTCTCAGTGAGCAGATCCATAGCAAGACGGAGGAGTTGAAGGCAGTTGAGGACCTGCAGAAGGACGCCTTTGCCACTTTGCCTTTGCCAGCGCAAAAGAGGCTCTGAGAGTTGAACTTGGTCCAGGACCCTCGGGAACATTCCAGCCCGGCCCAAAAGGCGAATCAGAGGCTCCAAGCTTCTGACAACCCTCCGAGCCCGACTGGTGCCCTCGGCAAGTTGGTGCGTGTTGGATGTTTTGAGAATCACTTAACTTCGCTGAGGTTTGGGGCTACTGCCTCCAACACCTGAGCGGCCGCGTCAAGACTTTCCGGAGCCACAAGATGTTGGACAGGGCCTGTACTCAGACACGCTTGCTCGGTTGGCACAGTCCCATGCGGAGCTGAAGAGTCGCATCATCTCCTTGGAGTCTGAGAACAAACGACTGCAAGACGAAGCGAATCTGCGGTCGATGGAGGAACGGAATCGTCTGCTGCAGGTCGAGTCCATTCTCAAGGGAGAAGACGAAAGGGTCTCTCGCCTAGGAGCCAGGCCGGCCAGGCCATCGGCTCCATCGGTTCCATCGGTTCCTCGGCCCAAAGCCAAGCTGCGCTGTGCGGAGCGCGCGGTGACGCCTCCGCCTCCCACGATGCGGATTCCACACTGGCGGAATGATCGGCCAAGCTGGAATCGGAGCGAGCGGAGCGAGCCTCCCGAGCGCAGAGCGCAGAGGCCAGGGCCAGCGGGGTCAAGTCAGAGCCGATATGCCCCACAAGAAAGGAGCTCGGCAGGCTTAACAGGCAGGACCACCCCGCCCAAGCCAAAAATGGGACGCAGCACACCGCCGCGACCGCGAGCAGTTCCGAAAGTTTCACCGAGATCTGGAGCCGATGGCGTTCCCACGCGTGGCACGCCGCCAGCGCCGAGCTTCCCGGCAAGAGGCCTGACGAGCTCGATACGAGAGGCACCTCGCTTCGCAAGTTTGGAGAAAGCGTTTTGGGAAAGCGTTTCCGATTCCTCAGCGTCAACTCAGGCCAGGCCCGAGCGGCGCTCGGAGCGTTCGGGCAGTGTCTCGCCGCCTCGTGGCGGCGCTCGGCATACGCCAAGGACCCAGGACGGCAGGTGCTGCTGCAAGCGCAGTCCCCCATGACAAAGCTGAGGTCCACACCACCGGCACCTAGCTCCAGGCAAATCTGGGACTCCGATGGTTCAATAGTTGGAAGATGAAGTGGAGTAGGAGCATTGGGATTGAGGGATGGAGGGGGAGGGAGGGAGGGAGGGAGAGCGCAAGAACTAGTAGACTTGTTCGATGGGCAAGACTCAACCCTGCCGGCGCCAGTGGCTTCACAAGGGGACTAGGGGCGCGGAGATGAGGCCTAGATTGAGTTGTGTTTCATGTACAGGGAGGGATCGCAGCTCAGAGGGTGGGCACAAAGTGAGAGGGAAAAAATGACACATGATGACACAAGCGGTGCATGGGCGGTGGCCTCAGGACTGAGGGTCGCTGGACTACCCGAGGTCTCCCTTCACCCGTCCTCGACCAACACCGGTCGGGCACATCGGCGAGCCTACAGGCCGCCTACTTGCGACCTCCAGCGGCAGCTCTTGAGACTGGCACACCCAGAACGGCACAACAACGAACCCACCCTTGTTCACTGGTCCGTCCACCAGCCCCCACAAGGAGGCCCAAACCATTCCACCACAGCCCCCAGAGCAGCAGCAGTAGCAAGCAGCAGTGAGCGCGGTGCGCCACCCGTGAAGGAGAAGCCAACAGCAGCAGCAGCAGCAGCAGCAGCAGCAGCCAGACTAAGCCTCCACCAGGCAAAGGCACCGTGGCGCCAGGCACAGGCTTGTGTGTGTCTGTCTGTCGCGGCCTGGTCGCAGTACCAGCCGGAGGCTGCGCCCGTTTCCTTCAATCGTGCCAGTCGTAAGCCCAACTAGGTCACACACGCATGAGGCGCCTGGCTACTTTCAAGGGTGTCAATGTGCTTATTTCCCAGGTCTTGGTACGATGTTAGTGAAATTTCAGTTTTTTTAACAAGAGCCCAAACTATTCATTTTATTGATACCTCAGCTAATTTACAACACGAAATGCTGTTTTTTGGGTGTGGTTTTCTCTTGTCTTAGACACTTTGAACCCGAAAGACGCGGACTTTGTGCTGCAACTGACTCTTGAACAAAACTCAGAAGGAAAGCAGCTCTGCGTATCCGCCATTTGCCGAAGAAGAACATGATGACGATGATCGTGATGGTGATATTCCTATGTTGATCATACTCTGCCTTAGGATTGTGGGTTTCCTTATAGCTCTGGTGCCCGTGCAAGCGGGTTACGGGCAGTCGCCATGTACAACATCCTCATCATCCAGCACCACCATCCGCATGCAGCAGCAGCAGCAGCTGCTGCTGCATGCAAACGATGCAAACATCATGCTGAGGCAGCAGCACCATCCCGAGTCAAACATCACGCAGCAGCACCATCTCCATGCAAAGAGCATGCAGCAGAAGGCAGCAGCATGCATCCATGAGAAGAGGAATATGACGACGGACTAGCAAAGTATGTAGCAAAGTATATGTTGAAACAAGGCTGATATCAAGAACGTTAAACAAAGAACGTTATCATCCCCCCGCCCCCCTTGCCCCAGCAGTGGCATTACCAAGCCCAAAAGGTAGGCGCAGTTATCCCCCCATGTGTAGAAACTCGAAATCTTGGTCCGTAGATGCATACGAGGCCACATGTCGTTCTTAACCCCCCCCCCCCTCCACCCCCTCCCCCCGAGCCCAGGTCGTTAAATGCACGATATATCGTGGCGCCTGGTGCGCGTGTAACCAACTAGCTAAATCGTTTGTTGTTCAGACATCGCAGATGACACGACCTTTGCTGACCTTATGCTTCCGCTTTTTTTCACAGCCTCAGCAGCCGAAGGTTCTCAGACACCCAGCACAAACAGCTCTACCGAAAGCAAAAGCACCACTGCCTCCGAGCAGCTCAGAAGATGAATGGCACAGGCGCAGTCGGTGAACACTGCACCACTCCCGACCCCGGAAGGGGCTTCACAGACCTTGCAGATGCGGACTGTCGTGCGGCATAGGCCCGAACGGGCCAGGGGGCCTGTTGGCCCTGACACCCATAGCAAGCAAGCAAGACAGAGAGTGGGCATCTGGTTACGGAGGATGTGTGTGAGTAAGCTCTCTTTTGGCCGGCTGTGCCTTTCTACACGATAGTTCCCCAGTGCGCGAGATCACGCATGTTGTAAGTGGCAGTCGACCCGACCAGTATGGCTGAGCTGAAGAGGGAGAGAGGAAAGAAATTCGACGAGAGAGGAAGAGAGCGCGCAATGAGCTCCCAACAGCTGGCCCCTCCGCCGACTGTCCGCGATTCCAGAATGTCTCTCTGTATCGAGGCCGAACTCGCCGCGGAGTTTCAACGAAAAGGACAGAGGGCACAAAGAAGGAAGGCACTCGCAGTACCAGTGAGACCCCAGCAGACAAACTTGAAGCATATTCGAGGAGCTGCCCCCACACTGGCGGCAGATGGTTGGAGATGCCTACTGCCAGGACTTACCAACTTTGCAGTCAGGGGAACAGGATTTCAACTCTGACAGCAGCACCTGAAATCCGTGCGAATTGAACCACCGTCGGATGTGAACTCAAGCTCAGCGCCAGACTTTGGACTCGAGGAGACAGGGCGCCCATTTGTGGATCGCATCACCCTGCTGGACTTCACGAGCGCTTCGAGCAAGATGCCTGAGCCTGAACAGTACGATTTACAAAACTCTCCAGGAAATTACATCGGGCTGAAAGGGTGTCCTGTTTCGTTTGACCTGTTCGTTCGCTTCCCAACTATGTATTCCATTGACAGAGCTTCCAACCCTCTAAGCCGGTGTCATCCGAGGAAGCCAGACCCAGTATTTTGGGTAAACGTCTCTTTGCTGCATGAAGCGTGGCTTTGGCATAGGGGTCATTCCTGCGCTTACATCCAAAAGCTCTCAGTGGTGGGGTTTCATAACATGGACGGACGTATGCCGTCTGGGTAGTGGTAGCAGAGTGGTGTGGTAGTAGCAGCAGGGCAAGGACTAAGGAGGAGCAGCGGAAGGAAGAGGAGTTAAACCATAATGATGGCATTTCCGTTGCAAGTTTCATTTCCATTCTGATACCGAGATTCAGAGCCAACGGCAGCAGCTGAGGCATTTGTCGTTGTAGTCACGGACTGGCTACACAGGAACACGGCAGGAACGCGAACGGAAATAGCCCAAGTGCAAGTCAGGTTCGGCTGCGCTGGGCAGATCTCCAGATAACAGAGATCGGCCGCGTGCCGAAGCGCGGCGAGGCGAAGGGTCGCAAATCAGTCCGCACCTCTTGGCCTAAAGATACTCACTGCTTTCTTGTCGACGGCCCTCCTCGAAGAGACGGGGACGTCAAGACCGATCGTTTGGTTTGCGTTGCCTCGTCGGGGCCCTGCTGGATGTTCTTCGCTATCTTAAATAGCTGAGGTTTCCAGTCGGAAGTTTACGCCCGGGAACACTCACTAGCTTCTGAATCTGTTCGTTCGCTTGGTAAACCTGTTCGTTTACGATCGAGCAGTGTCGTGAGCGTAATCGTCTCCATCCTGGCACTGAAGGAAGAACTCCAACCGTCGTCATGCCATATTCTTGCTACCGCTGCTGCTGTGACATGGTTACAAGTTTCTCAAAGACTCGGGCCGCGTCGTTCGTGAAACACCGTGACCCTGCAGAAGCAGGCAGTTATTTCAGAATCATTCAGAATCTCGAGAGAGATTGATTGGCATTATTTTGTTATGTACCCCGCAGACACGGTCGGGCAGTGGATCTGGTCAGGCCCTGGCGCTTTTCGTTCTGCAGGGCACGACGGGGGAGCGTTTCAGGGTGCCTCGGGCTCGCAAGCTGCCGCAAGCTAGTCGGATTGTTCCCCCCCCCCCCCCCGCCCGAGCTCAGGCAGGAAGTTGGGCCCAAGACACTTTCAGGCTAAACTGATGTTCGAGCATGTTGCTTCTAGGCCGGTAGCAAGGACATTTGTTGAAGGCTGATCGATGCCACAGCGCCTGAGCCTCCGCATGTTCCTGAGACGCTACAGTGACGGCTAAGAAACTCCTGTATCCGAGGCAGGGTACCCTGGATTCTCTTATTTAGATATCACTTTGTTCAGGGTCATATGCGATACCCACCAGGTTTAGGGTACCCTGGATCTCTTATTGGAGACGTCAACATGGACGAAGAGCCCGGGGCGGGAATAAACCGCCTCCTCGAGGATGGCGATGTTCAGATCATTGATCCTCCGCCGCCTCCGCCTCTCCTTTCGGTCAATGTAGTGCGCCACCCTGTGCAGCAAACACTGCGCAACTTCGGGCGAGTTCCGAAACTCTCGCCGATTTGCTGCACAACTCTCCTGGGTTCATAAAAACCAGGAAATAAGAAATCCATCCCCTGGATTTCTTATTTCCTTGGTTTTTGGCCGGACCAAAAACACAGGAAATCAGAAATCGCTGGATTTCTTGTTTCGTGGGCGGGACAAAAAACACACGAAATAAGAAATCCAGGGGCTGGATTTCTTGTTTCCTGGGTTGTGGGCCGGCCAAAAACCAACGAAATAAGAAATCCAGCCCCTGGATTACCTATTTCTTCTGTTTTTGGTCGAAATCCAGATCAAATCCTTTACCCTCCGCCCATTGCCTTCGGGCGAATTCCGAAACTCTCGCCGAATTGCTCCAGAAATCCTAAACCCGTCAAAGCGACTGGATATCAAATCTTCACCTTTGCTGCTTGCCTGCGGGCGAATTCCGAAACTTTCGCCGATTTGCTGCGGTAGTCTTAAACCCGACCGAAGAAAAAATCTTCACAATTGCTGCTTGCCTTCGGGCGAATTCCGAGTTTCTGGTCTTGGGGGCAGCATTTAAGAAATTTGATAAGAAATTGAGTTTCAGGGGTAAGGGACCCTGCATTTCCTTATTTCCTTTTGCTTGGTTGTGGCAGAATGTTCGCCCAAATCCAGGGGCTGGGTTTCTTATTCAATGTTTTCCCATTCAGTGCTGGCGCTGTACCTCTCAGGAGTGGCAGAGCAACGGTCGCCGAAGCACTTCACGGCCCGTTTCGCCAAGGCGGGCACCTTTGGCAGCCTGGCATGCTGCTTGGATCAGAAAGAAGAAGGACGAAGCCCCCACATCTCGGCATGAAAGGCCCCAGATGGCCCAAAGCTTACAGAATCTCAATGTAGAAGAGGGAGCGCTTGCATTTTCAACTGCTGCGTACATTTGGTGGCCTCGGCTCTTGCGGCTGCTTCAACAGAACGAGCATGAACTAGCGATCAGAACGGAACATGCAGCAATCAATCTCCGTGAACGACTACGACTACGAGTTTATTCGGTGCCTTGTGATCTTTTCGTCGTTCTGAGTTCTGTAGCTCTGCCATACGGGCACAGATGTCGGTGCTGACAGCTTGAAAACGAACGATGTCTATCTCAGTCCAAGGTGGCCTCAATGCGAGTGCTTCGGAATCTTCCCTTCAGCGAGAAGAGTCTCCGCTGAAAGCTTCGGGCAGCTTTGGGGCTTTGGGCACTGATCTTCCTCCCAAGACCCGAGGAACAGCATGCCTTTGGTGGCGCATGCTGGCGGTGGTTTACTCCGTGCTTCCGGCTGCAGAGTCAGAGAAGAACAGTTGCAGTGCTTGGCATTTCCAGACTGCACACGCGCCAGATTGATGCAGAGAAACTCTTGCACATCACAAGAAATCAGATTTGCGCAGCCCCGAACGATCAGGCATGGCCTTGGGCTTCACGCCTTGTGCCAGGCTGGCATTGTGTCTAAACGCATATTTATGCCACATCTTCACCCGTGTGCAGGCGATACCACCATGTGGTGCGCCCGCCAAGCTGGTCCACCCCTGTGACGCCGAGCTCCTCCAACCCTAACTTCATAAGCCACTCCAGCCTCTCATGCTGAGTTTCCTCGGATCAGTGGCATGTGGTTTCAGCGTGTTTAGCTCCAGCTCGTTGTCAGGGCAGCCTTAGGGGAAGGCCCTCTGGCTACCTGTTTCCTGTTTCTCTTGGGGGGTCCGGCTACGTTCCTTGATCATGGACCGCAGGAGTGCATGCAGCGGGCTTCTGTCTCAAAGCTTGTTGTTTTGCCACATTGTCACCGCTGCACATAGTGCAACTCACTTTAACACTTTCAGGCTCTCTATGGCGTAAAGTGAGAGCTGCTAGATTCCTGGTTCTTCGAACCTGACATGGCAAGGTTTTGAGAATAATTGTCGACGTCGGACCCTCCAAGATGCTGGTGGACGCCAGCTGGGGCGTCTTTAATGATAACACCCCTTTGCAGAGCATGCGAGCGTAAAATGTGCATGTGATGAGCTGCAGCTCGGAAGGCAGGCTCGAGGTCTGGTTCTCCTCAGTCTTCATGGTTCTCTTCGGCCTCCAACTGGGCCACAGAATATTCCAACCTGGTCAAGTCCGTGACGGTGGGCGAAGACTTACAACCAATCGAAACTGCATATACAGGGAATTCAACACCGTATCATCCTCGAGACACCATATCCTTTTAGGTGAACTTCTCCCTTCTGCCGCCCAGGCACGACCGAATCCACATATACGACAAATTGGAGGAGAGTATGGCGGATGGCTCCTCAAACTGCCTTTTAGGCGACAATCGAAAATTCCGAAAGAAGGCACAAAAGAACGCTCCTGATGGGTGCAACTGCTTTTCACGCCCAGATGATACCCCCCTGCCTGGCACGAGAATGTTGAAATGCTGGCCAGAACCGAGTGCTATGTTGGAAATCGCCTTGACCACTTCCCTGGGTGTTCATGTGCCTCCTCCATGGATACACTTTTGTATGCTCAGATAACAGCATGCGCATGCCGCGATGCACGTATGTGTGCATAGCACGAGGTCCCAAACCTCGCCGGACTCTGTCCAGCGCGAGTGCTAAAAAGCATATAGCACGAGTAGCAAGAGTATGCCGGCTGCATGAGAAGACGGGCTTAGGACATGACTTGCAAAGCACGTACCTGCTATCGAGCTTCGTTCAGATGATGTCGGAATAGGGCCAGGCTGTGTCGCCACAGCTGCGAGTGGATGGAAGATTCCTGCATTCCGATCACTGCGGACTCCCTCATGCATGTGCATGTGGTTTCGAGCAGATTTCACCGGTTACCGGCAGGTTCAGCTCGTACAAGATCTCCCTTATTGTGTCGGGTGGTGTAGGTCGATTGCCCTGACAGATAAGTGCTGTCATTGCACTGTGGCTGTTAGTTTGTGTACTTGGCTTTGGCAGTTCCAGCAGCCCAAAGAACAGCTGCCTTTCACAGCTGACTGACCATCGTATCGAGCCTCGCCTGAGCCAGCTTCGTGTGAGTAAGCTTCCAGTGCGTGCCATGCAGGCGTGTAAACTTCAGATGAGCGAGCTCAAGAAGAGCTGGCCTCAGATGTAGGATATGTAGGTTTGCAGAATCAGACGGTAACTTGCCATTCTTTCGCAGGATGGCAATCATTCGGAAGCATATGCCATGTCTGAGAATCGTTTGGGCGAAGCGGAATCGTAGCCAGGACCTGCGAGCTTAATCAAGCACAGTGTCGGTGCCTCAATTCTTCAAAGATGCTTGACGCTTTGCAAAGTGTACTGCAGCTCCACAATAGGCTCGCCGATAGAGGATAGTCTGGACGGCTTATGAAGCCGGGACCTTTCGACGCAAAAAATCCCGTGTAGTCTGCTGCATTTCCCTATGGATGCGAATTTACTGACTTCTGGCCACGCAAGTTGTCTTCCATGGACTTGATTTTCTGGAATTCAACTTAAACACTGCGCTCATGGGGAACATCACCTGTGTCATGGGCGTGAGCTTGACATGCCTAGCCACACCTGAACCCCTGTCTGCAGCGACTGCTTCAGCTATGTAGATACACGTAGTGTATTGCTTCTCTTCTTTACTGGTGCGGTGCATACAGGGTGAACTTTCACGGACGAGTTCTGTGGTTTCAGTGGTATCTTGTGAAACAATGTAGTGTACGAGCGTCCGGGTTTGGAGCTAGGCAGCTAGTGTTTGTTGTGTAGGTTTGTGGTGGGTGTCATGGCTGGTCAGTTGTGGATGGTTGGTTGCCGTGTAGGGCTCACTGCTTTTTGCGCATGTGTGGGTGGCTTCCGTTTGTCGCTGGTTGGCAGCTCACGTGCAAGGGATGGCAGTTCTCGTATCAGCAGAGTGCCTTTGGAGGGATCCTTGCCTGCCGTAAAGCAGCCGAGGCCGTCTAAAGTTGCGGGACTTCTACGGTGCGAAAAAGGCTTGTGATGCAGTCTGGGCACCCAGTACAATGGAACTTGTGCTGCTCATTGAGATTTTGCTCGTGATTTCCAAGACGGTGTGCCAAACATCACATCAGGGTCATGTCGAGAATTTAGGCACAGGAGCTGCCTTGCGGCATTTGACTCCCGGTGTTTCCCTTAAAGATCGACCATGAGTCACTCAAGAATATTTTGTCTGTAGGTCCTGGCAGAGGAGCCCACGAACCTCAAGGCTGACGTGAGCTGTGGGTGAAGCATTCGGTTCTATTTTCTAAGAGCTGCGCAAATGTTGCGGCAGAACAGTACAATCGTCATCTGATGGTCTGGTCTGGGTGCAAGTCTGCATTCAAGAACGGGTTGGATTCGTCGTGATTTTCCCGCCGTGAGGTGATTGTCAGAGGCTCGAGTGCTGTCAGCTACATCCGCTAGTATGGGTCAGGCACTCTTCCGAAGGGCTAGCGCCAATCTTCAGCCAAGCTCTTAAGAACGCGTCGCTCTACTGGAAGTTGCTGTCCTTGCTGGATTGCTTCTTGCGCTGAGGCGGAGGGATTTCGCTGATGCGAGCTTGCCTAAGCATTTCCTGGAGTCACAGGATCTGCATGATCAGCATCAACCGACACAAAAGTCATCAAACGCAATAGAAGCATGACCTTGGCTGCAGGACTGCAGAATCGGTCGAAGACACGTAAAGATCCTACAAGATACCGCTGCACTTGTGTCATGGACCATGGTCATGTTGCGGTAGGACGAAAGCTCGTCGTTCCTGCTTCGACTCCTCCACCGAAGTCCTCCGTCGGGAAAGTAGTTGTAAGTTGATTCGACGAGATTGATTCCTCTGCTAGCCAGGCCATTCAACATGCACTTTCCGTCCTGAGCGTCGAGCGACAAAACTGTATTCCCTCTTTACAAGTCCACATCTCACTCTGCGGTAGGTTCAGGTTATACATGGCCGAGCGGGTGCGTCGGTTCGCGTGGCAGCCACCATCCACCCGGATAGGATCTGGTAGACAAGTCTGCATGGTAAAGCATTGAAAGCCCGGAGCCGGGCATACCTCAGGCTTAGTGACCTCAAACTCCTCTTGGAGCTAGAGCCGGGGCCTTCGACACTGCTCCGCTTGCCTGGCTTGCGCTGGATCGTATGGGCGTGCCGCAGTTTTGACTGAATTCGATTCCAAGCCTGCCGAGTCCCAAAAATTCCGATGCAAGACGGCTGCTGCCAGAGGCGGAGCTCCAAGTTGTGCCCAGTTAGGCTTGCATTAGATTGTGTGTAGCTGGTTGATGCTTGCGAAAGTTGTTTTGACTTTATGTTTGCTAGGCGTCTGCGTCGGGTAATCACATCCACGCGGTGCTATGTTGGCCTGGGCTGGACTCGTAGCTCGGAAGTTGCGTTGCAGAGAAGCTCTCTCGGAGGCACAGAAAGGAGCCAAAGAAGGCGCACGGGGCGTGACAGGACATGTTGACTTGGGTCTGTGGCATCACGAAATGCTGAGGAGGGGATGAGCATGTCGCCCCATGTAGCACGCTCGGCACGGTGTAGTGTAGATGCCAACTCGCCGGTGCTCACACATGGAACACCGCCTTCAAGCGGAGGCGAGAAGAAGGCCAGGTCCATGTACGCCAAAATGACCAAGAGCCTTGGGACTGGCAGGGAGGAGCGGCGTTGCATTACCATTACATACCATTACTTGCTGCAGAGCAGACCTTGCAAGGGCCCACTGCCATCAGGACGTAAAGGGCATTCAGTTTGACTTCGAGCCTGAGCCAGAGTCCTTTTCCGTTGCTGGCTTAGCAGGACTGCTGAGAATGGCAGAGCAAAACTGGGAGAATTTCTTGAGCACTCGCGGCAAGCTTTATGGATTGAGGCACTTTTCCTGGACGCGCCTGCTCGAAACACTGCCTCTTGCAATGCTGGTGACTATCGTTTGTATGCTGCGCTCTCGGGTTTCTTGCATGTGGAAGCACCCTTCAAGGTCTGAGGCTTGAGCTTTTGCGTTTCGGAGATGAGGCTGCTCCACGGTAGGGCTAGGACCTGTGCTGGATTTGGGAGGGAGGGGCGTTCAAAGGAAATAGCAAAGCATCCACAAAGTTCCAAAAGGTTAGAAACAAGGAGGAGAAGAAGGAAGAAATAGATACAGAAACAAAGAAAGAAAGAAGCAAAGAGTGAAAGAAAAGTGAAAAATAATTGACGTAAAGAGTGGAAAATAAAAAAAAACAATGAAAGAACAAACAACCGCACAAAGACAATAGAAAAAAGAAAGAAATGAACGAAATAGATAACGAAAACTGAAAGAACGAACAACACGAACAACAAAATCTTGAACGGCTGGCAAGAAGAAACAAACGCTACGCCAACAAATAGGAAGTAGATAGATGATACATAATATAGCGTGATACAAAGTTTGTATTTCAGAGTACAACACAATAACATAATATGGTATGGCACAGCATATAGTACATGGTATAGTGTGTATGTATATATATATATATACTCTGATGCATTAATAGCACTCTATAAATTGTGTGTCGGGTATGTGTGTATGTATGTATGTATGTATAAGCACACACACATGTGCACATAATTTTACAACACGTATACATAGGAGAGAGAGAGAGAGAGAGAGAGAGAGAGAGAGAGTTTATGCGCACATGTCTTTGTAGCATGTGCATCTGTGTAAAAACACATATGCATACACCTACATATTTATAAACGGATAAACCTGTGAGTATGTGTAGTATGCATGTGTATGTGTTGCATACATACTTAAACATATACATATCGAATGCAAACAGCTATAAAAGAATATGTGTGTGTATATATATATATGTATATGTATGACAGCCTGCCCCTAAACTCTAAGTCTTACACCCTAAATTGTTTGAGAAGCAATGGGCGATGCAAATTTTTTGTGCATAGATTCCTTCCGAATTCAGTCCCGAAAGGGGAAACTCTGAACCTCAGCTTTTCCGAAAGCCCCAAGCATTCACAAGTTGCGGAGCTGCAAACGGGAGCTCCCTCCATGAAGCGGATGCTGCATCTGGTCATGTGGCCTCTGCTAATCAGCGCATCTACAGCCGGAGTACAACCGCCAGCTACTCGACCTCTGAAACCCAACCGCCCAAAGCAGTGGCCTGAAGCATCAGCAAAATGCTGAGGATAGATTGCATAATCATACAGGGCCTAAAAGTTTTCAGGGCCCGGTATGTGATACACAGTAGAAGCTACGAGATGCGCGGGTCATCTCTGAAACCTTCATCTGAGGCTCTCCATATTCATTCCAGATGCACACGTTCTAGTTTCCCTGCCTCCGGTGGCCCTGCAAGCGCACAATGTATTTATGAAAGCATTGCATATTATATGTACTGGTGTATGCTACAGACTTCTAATGCACAGTTACAATGCAAGTACAACACAAAAATTAGAATATTACATAATTCAGAAAGAACATTATCGCATAACTAGAACCATGTATTGCGATATGGTATTGTACAGCGCCCCTCGCCTGTGGAGGCTGCGCCCCCCCCAAACCTCTCCGCTTTTTTAAGCCTGAAGCCATGCAATTTCAAAGTATGGCCAGCCATCAAGGGACATTCCTTCATAAAGCTTTTCAAAGAGCTCAATCATGCGAGTTGTGTTTGTAAATGGGGGGGTGCTCCCCCCAACCGGCCCACACTTTGTAGCTGCGCGAACCTGCCTGAAAGAATGGCTGGCGTATCATCAATGGACAGTCCTTCATGAAGCCTTGCCGGGGATTGCGTTTAAACATGGGGAAGGCTCCCCCAAACCCCCCCTCTCTTTGTAGGTGTGCGAACTTGCTTATTTCCCCAAGAGCTTGACAGGACCTTACACTTGGAAGTTCTAGACGCAGAACAGAACGTGCAATCTGTAATTCCCCTTTGGCTGGGCGCAAGACGAAAGCCTGCAAATAGGAACCCACTAAGCTTGACGCAAGCAAGACCCTGCAAATTGTATTTCCCCACTAGCTTGATGCCAAGCAGGACCCTACAAATTGTAATCCCCCAAAAGCTTGACGTAAAAGCCTCGGAACTGCTGCAAGCATGACCGCATAAATGATGTTCGCTCCATAGCTTGCTGTAGATGTTAGGATGTATAGCGTATTCTGCACCAGGTGTGATGCTGCAGCCCCTTCGGGTGTTCAAGTGAGGCAAGACAAGTTAGCTTGGGCCGTGCGACTTTGTGGTTTAAGGGTTACCCGAAACCCTTGCATGGTAGTGAAGCGCTTGGTCTGAGAGGCCTTAGGTTCACCACCAGCGGGTTGCACTCAAGGGCTAGCCCTGCGGGTGCAGCGCTTAGCGGGCCAGCCTCGCAGGCGCAAGGAGGAGCGGACTGCACCACCCTCCTATAGGGACGAGGGTTCGCCCCGCTCCCTCGTAGCCATCACGGCGGGTGGCAAGGGATGCAAGGGCTCTAAGAAGGGCAAGCGTCGAGGAAGCAAGGCCCCAAAAAGAAGAACAAGCGGGAAAAGAGGTCGGCTGACGCGACCGCCCGCAGGGAGCAACGTGGGCAGGCCAAGCGCCTGGCCTCAGCCCTTGAGAGGGCAGAGGCCGAAGAGAGCGAAAGCCCGGAGGCCGACAAACACAGGGCCCAGGTTCGTCATCGGCATCGGCCCCGCAGCGAGTGGTGCTGACTTACACCCCAGCCAAACCCGAGGCAAAGGCAAAAGCAAAGGCCAAAGTTGAGAGCAACAAGAGGCCAATCAGGCTGGTGGAGGCAAAGCCTAAGGAGCAGCCATTTCAGAAGATCAAATGGCAGAAGGAACGCAAGAGGCGTCGGCGTCGATCCCACAACCCTCGGGTCACACTGAAATCAGTGCCGCGGGCTCCTATCCGGCTTAGGTTCGGCAGGCAGGCCGGTGCAACAGGCCAGGAGGAGGTCGGAAGAGCTCAGAGGCGGCCAAGAAAGACTGGCCAATGTGCAACTACGAGGGAGGGCGGAAGATCCAAGAGATCCTGAAGGCCAAGATTCCAAGAAAGGCTTGTCCTCATGTAACGAGAGGTCAGTGGTGCGGCGCCGGGTGCTTAAGAGGTTCTCCGGCCCGGAGCTGCGCAAAAGGGTGGAAGAGACTCCAGCCGGCCAGGGCAAGCCGGCAAAGCAAAGGAGCAGGAGGAAGAGGAAGAGAGCCCCGAGGATCCGGGGTTGGAGCAGACGTCGATCCACCGCCAAGCCCGGATCGCAAGCCCGACAACGATGGATGCGGCGCATGCTGAGACAATTAATGAAGTGAGAGGGCCGCAAGGGCAGGAGCTCCAAACACGTAGGGCTGAGAGGGCCCAAGCCAGGCGGCTGACACGGAGTCGGACCTGGAGCTTGGTCCGGTGACACCCCCGAGGGCTTGGAGGAGGACACTGGCAGCCGCAACAGCTGCAACAGGAGGCTCAGAGGGGCCTGGTTGACACCCGGTCAGCTGGGCAACCCGGACAAATTTTCCAGAGAGGTTGCCGCGTTTGAAGATTGGTCCTTTGCGCTGGAAGCGTACATGTGCTGCATCAACCGGGGCTTCCAGGCACTCTTTGAGCGCATCAGGTATTGTGATGTGCCGGTCCTCCAGTCCAGCCTTACGCCAGGGGAGGCAAGCTGTCGACACAACTCTTTTGCACACTCGTGATGCTTCTCCAGGGCAGGGCGCTGGACATAGCCCAGAACACAGACCTGGGCAACGGCCTCGAGGTATACAGAAAGCTGGTGAGTGAATACAGGCCCCGGTTGGCGAGCCGATTTGTTGGCACATTGATCCAGCTTATGAGCCACAAGTTCACCGCCAGCATCGAGGCCGAGATCCCGTTTTTCGAGAAGCTCGTCAGGAGGTACGAGGCAGAGACGGGAAAGCAGCTTGATGGCGCGGCCCGGCTGAAGACGTACCAGCTGCTCAAGGACGAGCTCTTGGAGGGGTAGCAGAGCAGCCTGTACCGATAGATATGCCGGCGCTTCCAAAGTGGAAGCAGAAGCCTCCAAAAGGAGGTAAGGACAACGCAGCCGGCCAATGAAAACCCAAAGTTCCCAAGGTGGAGGTTAGGGTCAAAAGGCAGGGAAGTAGTTTGTTGGTATTGTGGAAAGAAGGGCCATGCCATGGCCTAATGTAGAAAGAAGCAAGCAGATGATAAGAAGAATGGTGGTAAGGGCAACGGCGGTAAGCCCCGCAACCTCATGCGGCGAGCCCCGCTGAGGAAGAGCCCGAGCCAATGCTTTCAAGCCCAGCCTTGCCCGAGGACCGCGACTACGTGGCGGCAGTGACGTTGTCGCAGGAGGCCCAGGGTTTCAGGGATGTTTTGGTTGATACAGGGGCAGGGCAGGGTCACACTTGTTTACACAAGGGTTTGAGAGTCAGGCTCAAGCAGCGGGTGGCCCCACGGGCCGGAATTGTCACAGTGACCGGGGAGCCCCTAAGCACGGGCCAGAAGATGCCGAGTCAGACAAGGTGCATTTTTCAGTTTTGTCGGCGGGCCTTGCGGCCACAAAGGGAACATGGACCGTGATTGGTCCAGATGTGCAGTGTCTGATCTTGGACAAGAATGCACACAACATCCGCCGGGCCCTGGGGCAGGCCAAGACCATAGAGCTTCAAAGGAGGCGTGGGGTGCACTGGCTGCCGGTGCAAAACGACGAGAGGCAAGGTGGCAGCGGCCAGGGCAGCAAAGAAGGCGGTGCCGGCAGAGGCCGTGCGTTTCGAAGAGGGAGTGGGTGGAACCGCCCCCAAGCAGCGGGAGGAACCGCGCTTGGACAACCACCAAAGGAAGACTCTGAGGCACCTGAAAGAGCAAGTTCCAGCAGAGGACCACCAGAAGAAGACTCTGAGGCCCAACATCAAACCAGATCAAAGCGCATTCCAGATCTGGTCTCAGAGCAGGAGTACAAGGATTACCTGATGACTCTCGTTCGTGGTGTGACCACTGTGTTGCGGGAAAGTCCAGAGAAGACTCCCACCCCTTGAGGGAAGCAAGTAAGTGCCGAGGTGAGGTTCCGCGCTTATTCGTGGACTACTGTTTCCTGGGTCGTGCGCTGAAAGGTGAGATGCCAAAGACGGCTGAAGCACTGAAGGAACCCATCGATGCGGAGGATAGACAGCGACCAATCCTGGTTATTATGGTGGACCAGGAGACAGGAGCCACGTTTTCCTATGTGGTCACGAAAAGGGGTCAACACCTACACCGTTCATGTTATGCACGAGGCCCTAAAGTCTGCAGGAAGGCAGCGGGTGATCATCATGTCGGATGGTGAGCCGGCAATCAGAGCATTGATCGACACAGTGGCAAGGCAAGCCGGCCGAGAAAAGGCCGAGAAACACAGGTGCGACACGCACCAAGGGAAACACATGGACCCAGCAACGGTGCAGCCGAGCGAGCTATCCTGGAGGTGGCGCGTCAGGCCCGCACGCCGGTCCATCCCGGGCAACCAACTCAAGCCCGACAGTGAGGTGCTTCCTTGGGTGATTCGCCACAGCGGGTGGCTCATCACCAGGTTCTTGATCAAATGGGAAGACGCCGTACGAAAGGCTAAAAGGCCTGAGATAGTGGACCCCCTTGAGACAATCCACTATAAGATCGAGAAAGACAACAGGGGCAAGCTGGATGCCCAAACTTGCATTGGCATTTGGTTAGGAAAAACGCTCGGTGCCGACGAGCACATTGTGGGTACACCGCAGGGCATTAGAAAGTGCCGCTCGGTGTGGAGGCCAGAACGAAGGAGGTGGGAGAAACCCCGCCCAGCGACAACAAGCCGATCACAATGGGCGAAGGGCGCAAGGAAAGATCAGTATACACTGTGCAGCTGGAGAAGTGAAACCCCGCAACCAGGAGTGCAGAAAGACGTTTTCCGAGCTCACCCCCGTAACGGTGCACGAGCCGTGGAGGGGGATGCCCAGGGCATCTCTAAAGCCACAGCCCCAGAAGCAGAGGAGCAAGGTTCACCCCCGACCCAGCTCAGAGCCGCAACGAGCTGAAAAGACTGTTTGCGGACAAGCCCAAGGAGCGGCGAGAGGCAGCACAGCAGCAGCAGGAAGAGCCCAAGAGGTTCAGACAAACCAAGAAGGGAGCAAAGAGGACTGCTGAGGTCCCGACGAAGGAAGCAGCTGGGCTGCTGAAGCTCAGGGCCACGAGGAAGTCACATAGGAGGTCTCCCGAGGACTGGAAAGGCCCTTCCTGTTGACAAGGTCAAGAAGGCCAGAGGGAGCTTGACAAGATGCTAGGGCATGGACTCAAGGAGGACATCACCTGGGATGAGGCAAAACGCCGAGGACGTAAGATAGTCAAGAGTAGGTGGGTGGCTGGAAGCCACTCCCAGATGATTTTCAGAGTGTCCGGAGCCGCTGTGTGACTCAGGAAGTCAACGTGAGTGTCAATGTGAGCCGCAGAGACGACGTGGCATCTGGCACGCCTCCGTTGAAGGCTCACCGGATGGTCGTACATGTCTCACGCGGCTACGAAAGCTCCAGGAGCGCGTGAGGACCAGAAGCTTGTCGCTAGATACGATGTGTCAGTGGTATTCTTCCATGCAGACGCAATTGGGAGGATCGCTGTGGTTTCACCAAAGGACTTGGACCAGCGTCATTTGTAGATAAACAAGGCGACGAACGGGACGCGGGAAGCGTCCAAGCAGTGGGCAGCAAAGATCCTCAGCAACAAGAAGAAGTGGGGATTCTTGGAGCTAGAGTCCGTGCCGGGGCTCTTCTACCACCCGGTCCACGATCTCATGGTATGTTGCCATGGAGATGACTTCTTGGCTTCCGGTGAAAGGCCAGCCTTGGAGTTTTTGGACCGCCTTATGCTCGAAGAGTATGAGGTGAAAATCCTGCCTAGGCTAGGGCCGCCAGAGCATGGCGGAGAGTGTTCTGAGGGAACACATCTGCGCCGCAAGCTGACCTGGAACAGGGATGGCTAATGTGGGAAGCAGATGGAAAGTAGGCGACGCTCCTCACACAGGAGCTCAACCTGGCAGGAGGAGAGGGAGTAGACACTCCTGCGTCAAAGGAGACAGGAAAGAACGACAGGTACGCCGAGGAAGAGCTTTCGGCGGAGGAGGCCAGCGAGTTTCGCAGGCTGGCTGGAACAGCACTGTACCTGAGCCTTGACAGGCCAACGATACAGTTTGCGGTGGGTGACATCACTGCAAGAATGGCAAGGCCGCGTCGCATTCACATGCACCGGCTCAAGCGCCTAGCGCTCCTGCTTAAGTTTTCCTCGGAAGTCTGGGTTTACAAGTACTAAGAGGCCCCAAAAGAGTTGGTTGTCTGTTCCGATTCTGATTGGGCCCATGACCCTAAGACGAGGAAAAGCATGAGCGGTTATATGGAGACCCTTGGATCACACATGATTGAGACCAGCTGCGCGAGACCAGCTACGGTCGCTTTGTCAAGCGGGGAGGCGGAGTACTACGCCTTGACACGCAGTGTTGCGGCAGGAAGAATGTCACAGCAGATCTGGGAGATCATCGGCTATAAGCTTCCGCTTGTGGCCAAGACGGGTTCATCAGCGGGAAAAGGCATCGCTCAAAGAAGGGGCGTTGGAAAGCTGAAGCACCTTGAGCTTAGAGAACTCTGGCTGCAGGACTATGTGCAGCAAGACAAGGTGCAGATCCGAAAGGAAGCCGCTGCAACGAACGTGGCGGACCTGGGCACGAAGGCCTTGAACGGTCCAATGATCACTGAGTTGACCAGGATGCTGCCTCTCCGGAGGGCCTTCGTGGCAGCGATCCTGGCAATGTGCCTGAGCGTGGCTGCGCAGCCGGAGGAAGAGGAGAGCAGCTTTGATGCTGTAGGGTTCTGGATGTACATGCTCATTGTGCATCTCCTAGCCTAAATCGGCTAGTCCAGTTGGCGAGGAAGATTGCCAAGTTCTGTGGGAGAAGCAGAGCGGTGGAAAGGAGAAGCTCGTCGACAGACGGGCAGTTTGCGGCTAGCCCCGCACTTGCGTCACCCTGTCGGCACGAAGGGCTCACACAACGGACTGACCTGGAAACCACACCTGCCCGGCTCCCAGTGTTGCCGTTCCGCGTCCTAAGGGGCGCAGGGAGGAACTTAACAACAGAAGGCTTGAAGACAGACGGCATGCGGAAGAGCTTGCAGGAGGCAACGTGAGTTGTGTACGTGACGAGTAAGGGCGGAAGGTACCACAAGGACACCTGTGGTGATCTTCGCCAAGCCAGGAGGTACAATCCTCGCGGCATTAGACAGCTCACGCGGCAGGAAGCCCAGAACCTGTGGCAACTGCGGTGGTTGATTTCTGATCCGACCAAGCAATACCAAGAACATCCAAAGTGTAGCCAACTCTCAAAGAAAGTGGTCCATGGAGGAGTGTTAGGATTTATAGCAGATTCTGCACCAGGTGTGATCGCAGATGCTGCAGCCCCTTCGTGTGCTCAAGCGAGGCAAGAAAAGTTAGCTTGGGCCGCGCGACTTCCTTGTATTTTAAGGGTCACCCGAACCCTTGCAGTGAAGCATATGATTGTACTGCCTATTGCATTTTAATGTGTTTGATCCCGGTTTTGTGTTTTGATGCCATTGGGGGTCCTATTCTACACCCCAGACCGAGTATGTCCAGCTGTTCCGAGTTCGGTCAAGATCACCCAAGGGCTTTGTTTAAGCCAGCTTTGTGCTGCACATATCCTGAGGTAGGTGGAGGTGCCATAAACAAAGCGTTCGGAGACTTGCCTTGGCCTCGGTCGGGTGGTACTTGCAGTCTTGACAGTCAGTTGGCTTGCAGCAGACCGTTTGCACCGTTCAGATTCAATACATGCACCAAGTCTTTCAGGTTCAAGAAGGAGCAGGGCCTGCAGTTTGGCAGGATCTCCGAGGCCAGGCTGTTGCTTCCGCCATGCCAACACCAGATTAGAGTCCCCCGAGCATCACCACCTGCTAACAAGTGGGACAGTAAGTCCGGCTGAAAATGGAAGGAAGTGGATTAGACATGCCCCCTTCCATTTTTTCCATGCGGAAACAAGATAATGTTATGAGGCAAACGAGGGTGAGCCCCTACCGACCCCTTTCCATTTCTGCGCACTGCTCTCGGACAGCCATCCAGAGCAAGTTTGCACTTGTTTGTAAACTGCTGCTAATGTTACTCACACGATGGCAGAGCTCTTGCCTTCCTTCATCACAACAAGGCGCATCAAGGCAACCTTGACAGGCTTCTCTCGAATTTTCAACCTTGTTGTTTTCGTGAAATCACAGGCATCATTTTCTCTGTCAGACATTAGCCATCGCATGACGGACTAAGATTTGCAAATATCAGTATCATGTTTACAACATATACAAATTGGTGAACGCCATCGACCGACTGCTAGAATCTATTTCAAGGGCTAGAGTCGGAGGCCGCAAGTTTATGGACGAAAGCTGAGGCTTTGTGGCTTTGGTGCCGGCGAAGGTTTTTGCTTCAAGACTAGAGTTATTTTCGCGGAATGTGGTGCTGCTCGCAACCATCCTGCGGCTTAGGGGTGTCGAAAGTCTCTCGACCGAGGATTTGCCGCTGATTCTATTCTACGCCACATGTTCGCCAGAGGGTGGATTGTTTTACCACTTAGATGCATGGCTCCTCCTGCTGTAGGGAAACCCACTGTCACTGAGGCAGATTGCGCCATCGGCATGCACACACATAGCCGACTTCTGCTGGAATTCCGCTGAGAATGTAAACTTGTCTCTCTTTCTCGGTGGTAGCACTTGCTAAACGTTAAGACAAACCTTGAAAACCCTTCACAAAACCTGAAGAGGCGCTGGGAACAGGTGAAACATTTCACAAAGCCATGTAAAACCATATAACCCTAGCAAATGACGCGGGATTGTAGTATTCCTGGTGTTCCCCTAACACGCTTCTCCGTATGTTTGTATTCCCAACACCAGTAGCACCCTTCTCTACAAGGATCCCCGAATACACTCGCCAGAACTGCAAATACAAGCCCCGCTCCACTTCTGCATGCTGGGTTCAGGATTCGAGGAAGTATATAGCAGGCTGGAAGGAAGATCTTTTCCTACCTAATGTGTGATTGTCTTTAGTGCCATGAGCCTCTACAGTACTTCATAATGCATTTGTTGGTGGCTTGGTGATTTGAAGGAAAAATGTGGCCGAAATCTATAATGCGTTTTGGGCTCGGCGGATTTCGTAGGTTTGCTTCATTCGCTTTTCTGCTCATGGTCTATCAGGAACCTAAACCACAAACCCTAAAACACGGTGTACCACTGCGCTGCTCCTACTTTACCAGGCTTCAAGCCTTTTCGATTGTGGAGGGGAGCGTAGGTTGAAGCAAAAAGTCTTCAAAATGGATAGTTTTTAAATCTTGGTAGCTATCTTGGAGTGATGGGGGTTTTTGGTTTCGAGGTTTTGGCAAAACCTCGGAACCAAACCCCGATCACTCCAAGATAACTACAAAAACGAAACCCCTTAATTTTGAAGACCTTTCCTTATCCTGCACTACCCCGCCCACGTTTGCAGGCACCTCCAAACCCGCTTATTGCACTACACTACTGCACTCGTCTTGTCGTACTGTACTACACTACTGTACTGTTACTTTACTACTACTGGTACTACAGTAGTACTACTCACCAACTGCACATCCTTGGTGGCCCCCCAAAACCCTTCTAAGTTAGTCAAACCCAAACCCACCCAGACCCCAAGCCACCAACAAAACACCTCGGACCACCTAAAGCCCTTTTAAGAAAGTCAAGCCCACCAAGCGGGTCACGAGCAACACACAGCATGAATTCAGGCCAACCCCGAATGGTCGGAGGGGTGCCGCCACGAAAGACAGTCACACACTATCTGTGACCATGGTATCCTACATGAATAAGGGTCGCTATTTGGCATGTGCTCCCATATAGCAATCAAGCCACATAAAGCACGGCAGTTTCTAGGGATTTGGGTCTACTCGGGGATCCAAGCACGGGCTGTACCGGTAACGAGTCCAGAAACGCAGACTTTCAGACCTTAGGCATACTATGTCGCCGGTTCAGGTGGCACTGTCGTGGCATTGCATGATACCTGTGCCCAGCTCCCTTTTCCAAGCTCAGGCCGCTTCAGTATGCACGGGGTGGTTTCCCTTTGCGCTTCTCGTCATCACTCAGTCGCTCACTCCGACACAGGATTACACCGCAGGCCTCACATAACACATCCCCGGGCCTCAGACCGGGAAAACGAAATCGCCAGGGCAACTGAGATTCCGTCTGCTTTGCTTGCATAAACGGAATCTCGGTGGCTCCCGTGCCTAATTCCATGTTGTACCCCAGCACTACCCCAGCACCATGTTCGAGAGCCGAACCCCTCGGAAGTTGCCATGATATCCAGGCGCCATGCCTAGTTCAACGCAGACTGGCGGCCTCTTTTCATTTGAATGTATAGTATAGCAGAATCATGTGCATCATTTTCGTTGCCCTGAGAAAGCCGAGTTTGAACCAGCCTCAGGACTACCAACAGTTGCACATGGAGCTCCTCCATGCAAGTCGGAAGGCCGCGTGGTTTGTCCTGTAGCTAGGAGGATCATCGCAAAGCAGGGAATGTCTCTCGCTGTCGTCCAGCACCAACGAAGCATGAAACCTCTGCCCCGAGTTCACGTCAGGCTGGCCGGAAACTGGTTTCTGCCGCACACTTACCCTTGTTTCTTGCAGACGCTTGCACATGATACGTGGAGATGCCGGCATTTCAGGTTCATATGCATCCTTGTTTTAACGACACTGAAGAGGTGAGGTTGGCCGATTATGACAGGCTTGCAGACTTCGTAAAGCATGCCATTGCACTTGGACGGAAGGGATTTTGTCGTGTGACTGAGGCCCGAGACTTGCCCAAGGCTGCTGAATTATTGCCGGACCCTTTCTGGTTTGCACCAGAATATTCCTTTCCTGTAAACAGGTGCCAAAGGCACACGCCAGTAAGATTGGACTGTTGACTCGTTTGAATCTCGGTCTCTAGGCCGAAGCTTTCCCTCTTAGCCTCGTTCGGCCGCGCGGCCGATGTTCCTTGGCAAAACAAGTATCTTGAGATCCCTGGAGGCAAACAATGTTGCACCCAAAGCTGTTACCGCCCTCTCAATCAAGGAAGTCGAGCCAGAAGGTATGGAGGGCAAGGGCCTCAGCAGAAAGGGTGCGGAAGTCCGTCTCAACTGATCCTCAGCTGCAGCAAGCCATAAGCCATCATCACTCCAAATTTCCAAGACCTGCATCTAAGCGCGATGGCCGTCACCATGCAGCATATTTACTCTGCCAGCGGTCCAGAACTTTATGCCCGATGGTTAGCATGCGCGCACACACTCCAGCGCACAGTTCGCCAAGGGACATAGCGGGCCCGGCCCTTCATTCGCAGTGAAGGAAAGATCTAAAAGCAAGAGCAGGGACTGGACCAAATGCTTCTGCAAAGGGCATGCAATGAAGGGCGTGCAATCTGAAGTGTGTTGGGCCTCATAGGTCTTGAATGCTAAATGAGAAGAACCTCTTCCCATGAAGCTTTTAGTTCGGGTGTGCCACAACGATGCCCCAAGCCGACAGTCAGGACGAGCACAGCGTTTCAAGTGTACAGGACCTGCCCGTAATGTGTATTTCAGGAGTCCGGGTCGCTGTGGGCCGTTCGGTATTTCAGTGCATGGGCTTTCGGGACACTTCGAACGTTGGTCCCGTGGCCTTGATCACAGGAATTATGTCAATGTAAACTAAGTAAACATAGACCGAATGTCCAAATCGTGGAATTAAGCGCTTGAGTCAGCGTAGCAGAACTGTGAGACTTCTTGGAACCCGTCAAGGGCAAGCGGTCTCGATGACCATGGCTCGGAAACGCTTGATACTCGAGAGTTAAGAAATTTGGCGCTTCGCTGGTACCAGAAGTAATCAGAACCCGTACCCCGCGTCGGCAACAAGAACAGCAAAACAGAAAGACAGAATGCACTCTCAGCCAGCGACATATGATACGCACTGCGCATACACATGGTGAATGCCTTTGATTGCTTTGATGGCTGCTGTTCATGTCCGTCCCGTATCGTCCTTGGGTTACTATGGGGTACATGCGTACCCTTCCGTGCACCCAACAATTTGCACACGTTCTCGTGCGGGAGAAAGGACATGAAGGACATGTACAAGGAGAGAGGGAGAGAGAGAGAGAGAGAGAGAGAGAGAGAGAGAGACGTAGCCATTTTGGCTCAAGTGCTGCACCCTTGTGGGAGGGCCTGTTCCGCCTTCCTGCATCGGGGAGGGAGACGCGGAGTTAACTCGGGCTGTGACCCGTGGGAGCTTCCGTCGTCTTCCTCCAGCGGTGCTTGAGCTAACATATCTGCCGCCACGTTGCTCCAGCGGCCTTTTTAGGTGACGCTATATTCGTGAAGGGCGAGTTTGACATTCTTTGTCCTTGCGGGGGACCTCGTTACTGAAAGTCCCTCACCGTCCTCGCTCTTGACCGGAGGGGGACGCACCTCTTCAACAAGCACCCTGACTCAACCAGGGCCGAGCTTCGCGGGGAGATTGCCATCGCTTGGGTGAGGGATTACCACGCGTCAGTGATCGTGACTTTCCGGACGGGGGAGATCGCAAACTACCATGGCGTGGAGGGGACGTGAATGCCGGCTGTGCCGGTATGCCGGCGGAATCTGCCAACCGGGGTTTCGTAAGACTCATGTCAGAGAGGATCCCCAATGCAGGTTGCATGGCATAGCCGAACGCATGAACATCAAGATGGGGGACGCGGCCTATGAACCAGCGAGACCGCCACCAAATGGGGGGGGGATGCAAACACCCACCCCCCTGTGTAGCAAGACGGCTTTTCGCACACAGGGGGGATTGCACCTACTCTTCGAGCCGGACGCGCTGGACCGATGGGTTGCAACAGAAGTCAAGGTGGACGACGAGGGGCGGTACCTGCTTATGCCGTCGGGGGAGGCCCTCGGATCCAAAGCCGCGGGGGAATACGAGAAGTACATGGCCAGGTTTTCCCATAGGTTTCGCCTTGGAGAACAGGCCGATCGCCTAGTGCGTATCGTTGACAAATGGCTTCCGAAGATTTCCCAGGAGAACAGAGTGTGCGCAATGAAGTTCCCAGAGAAAATCCCTGTCATGCTGCGCAAGGCTTGGGGGATGCGTCGCAAACTTCGCAGACGACGAGCAGAGCAGAAACAGGCGACCAAGAAGGGGGAGAAGAAGCAGCAGACCAGGAAGGGGGAGACGCAACAGCCAACGGACGACACGACCGACGAGGAAGACACGCCACCACCACCAGCAGAGAGAAGGGAGCCAGCCAGCAGCTCTCAGGGGGTGGCCGCTGCAAATGTGAGAAAGGAGCACAGTGCCTCAGCAACCCCACCGGACTGGGGGAGTCCGGACAGTCAAGACGAAGACGAAGAAGGGGGAGCCCAACCGGGCCGAACAGACGACGACCGCCACCAAGCAAGCCGGGGGGAGCAGGACGAGAACAACAGCGACTACCACCGAGACCATGTCGAGTCAATGTGGCCATGGGGCCCAGCTGGCAGACCGTCTGACTCTGAGCCAGGACAGCGAAGGCCGAGTGAACCCACGGGGGGACCCAAGGCAAAACGTCGGTGCAACTGGCCCGACAACGTTGGGGAGCCAAGTGAGGCCCCAAGCAGCCGAGCGGCCTTGGTACCCAACCTACGCTCGCAGGTTCAGCAAGTCCAGGCACACATGGCCAGACAGCGAGGAGCCAGCCAACACCGGGGAGAGGACGCCGACTAGGTCGAGAGGGCACCGGAAAGTCCCGCAGTGAGACGGAGTGAGCACGGCAAAATTTTTCGAGTGACGGCCAGAGCGGGGGATTGGGGAGGGGATTCCGGTTTTGTGGTGTTGCTTTGCCTAGGTTCTCTGTTGCTTTGCTTGGTTGCTGTTACGACACCCCTACCCTCTTCTGCACCTAAGTTCCGAGCTTGCACCCTGCCTTACTAGGTGGGGGATTTCTCCCTTTTCCATATAACCCAGCCGGGGGGTGCATTCTTGCACGACTTCTGCACTATACGTCCTACTTTTGCCAAAAGCTGGCCCGATTGGCCACCCCATTCCGCCTTTTTCAATTCACTGCACTCCCGTCATTGCGACGATGTCTGATCCGCCTTCCACATGTAATTCGCATCCTCTCCTTGTTGTGCGAGAACAAGGGGGGATAATTAAACCGGCCTTTTTCATGCCCCCTCGAACCTACCAAGGGCTAAGGACACTTGCCATAGGGGCGCGGGGACGAGGCGGGGGTTGTTTTTGCGTTTAGTGTTCGGGGGGGCTCTCTATTTCTACACCTGGGGCATATTTTGTAGTTCTATGCCGTGTTCAGGAATGACCCCAATGCCAACCACTCACTAAAATAGAGTGAGGGTTGGGCGGGCCTAAGGCCCGAGGGTCTTGCGAGACCCCTAAGCCCAGCAGACAGAAAGACAGAAAGAGAGAGAGAGAGAGAGAGAGAGAGACTTCGCTTTTGACTACTCCCTAGCTTGCTGGAAGCCAATCGGGAGCCAAGAACCTGCAGTTTCAAGTGGAGTGGGGAACCCGGTGTTATGACAGACACTCTCACTTTCCTTTCAAAAGCGGGGAACCTACCCACAACCCCTGAACAACAGCGGACACTTTGCTCTTTACAGCAGAGCCCATCCACACAAAACAGTGGATGGGGTAGCACGCCTGCGCGGGGCGGGAGGGTTGCTCCCGCCTCAAACCCCGAGCAAAGCAAAGAGAGAGAGAGAGAGAGACAGGGGTCTGTTCCACCCCCCTTGCATCGGGGTTAACCTGAAGCTTTGTCTTCGGGGGAGCTCCCGTCGCTTTCTCCCAGCGGTGCAGGAGTCACACGCCGAAGCCGCAGGCTTAACTGGCCCTTTCTCTTCCCTAACCCGCGCATACCGCGATTTGTGGGGGGGGACCGGATCTACTACAAGATCGTGACTATCAGGGAAACTGTGAATTTCTCCGCGCCTACGTCCAACTTGCTGGAGGGCTAAGCACATGACGAAAAGGGGGGAAACCTGCATGACGGCCTTTGCCTCCTCCTCTAGGCCCAGGCCAGCTGGTAGCCGCAAGCCCAAGACCGAGACCACGGCCACGCAGGGGGAAACCCCAGCAGGGGGTGAGAAAGACGAGAACCTCGCACTACCGGTACGACCACCACCGGTCAGAGAGTGAAGTGTATGTGTATATATATATATATATATATATATATATATATATATATATATATATATATATATATATATATTCATCAAGTACATAACAATGCCGAGATCGATGTACTTGACTTTATGTATTTCACTCTATGTACTTCACTCTGCGTACTTCGCTCCATGTTGTCAGAGCTCTCGAATCAGTGCAGAAATTCAAGTACATGAAGTCAACTGCGTACAGTGAAGTGCATAGAGTCAAGTGCATAGTCCATTGCATAGAGTCAAGCACATAGAGTCAAATAGTCCAATGCATAGATGCCTAGAGTCCCCCAGGTTGAATCGATTTTTGTATAAAAACATTGGTACTGGAGGTGTCTCTTTTGAGGTTTATTGGTTTACTATTGGTGAACCAATGCCTGTAAACCCTAAACCTGAAGCCCTAAACCTTTAAACAATAAACCCTAAACCCTAAAGAGTCATAGAGTCAAGTATACATGTACATAGAGTCATATTAGTCTAGTCCAGTCCAGTGCATAAAGTCGAATACATACGTCAGGTACATAGAGTCAAAGAGTCAAGTACATCTTCACTTTGTGGACTATGCATTTGACTCCCAAATCGAGTTTTTGTTTTAATACAAACTTTAGTACTGGAGGTGTCTCTTTTGGGCTAAGGTCAAATTTCCGGTTCAAGAGTCCCCGAACCTCAAGTTTTCTTGCATGATTGAAATAAGCGAAAATCTAGAGATTTATTGGTTTAGTATTGGTGAACCAATGCCTAGAAACCTTAAACCTTAAGCCTTGAACCCTTAAGCAATAAACCTTAAATCCTATTCCTTAAACCCTCAACCCTAAACCCTAAAGAGTCATAGAGTCAAGTATACATGTACATAGAGTCATATTAGTCTAGTCCGGTCCAGTGCATAAAGTCAAGTACATAAGTCAGGTACACAGGTACATAGAGTCCTAGCTCTAGTCAAGTATAT